TCTTCTTCTTCTTCTTCTTCTTCTTCTTCTTCTTCTTCTTCTTCTTTTTTCTTGTTCTTCTTGTTCTTGTTCTTGTTCTTGTTCTTGTTCTTCTTCTTCTTCTTCTTCTTTCTCTTCTTCTTCTTCTACTTCTGTGAATATCAAGTGTCCACTTGACAGGAGATCTACCCTCTTAACAAATTAACATACGCTAATGTTAACTTTAAGCAAAATGCTATGTGGCAGCTCTCTAAACTTATCATATCAACTAACTCAAACTTTATATCCATTGAATAACAATTCCCAATATTTCCCTACCCCCAATTCCTGGCCACCACTATTCTACTCTCTGCTTCTCTGTGTTTAACTATTTTATACACCTCATATAAGTGGTGTCATGCAGTATTTGTCATTCTGTGATTGACTTGTTTAACTTATATTGTTCTCAAAGTTCATCTATGTTGTTGCATATGGCAGGATTTCCTCCTTTTTAAAGGTTGAATAATATATATATATATATATATATATATATATATATATATACACACATACCACATTTTCTATATCAACTCATCCATTAATGGAAATTTAGGTTGTTTCCACATTTTGGCTATTGTGAGTAATGCTGCAATAAATATGGGAGTTCAAATACCTCTTTGAGATCCTGATATAAGTTCTTTCGGATAAAAACCCAGAAGTAGGAGTGCTGGTTTATATGGTATTTCTATTTTTAATTTTTTGAGAAACCTCCATGCTGTTTTCTATAGTGGCTGTACATACCATTTCCCACTAACCATGTACAAGAGTTTCAATTTCTTCACATCCTTGCCAACACAATAAAAATAACAGCCATACTAACATCTTAATAATGTGAGGTAATATCTAATTGTGATTTAAATTTCCATTTCCCTGATGATTAGTGATGTTGAGCAATCATTTTGTATACCTGTTAGCTATTATATGTCTCCTTGGAGAAACTGATATTCAAGTCCTTTGTTCCTTTTTGAATTCAGTTATTTGGGAATTTTTTTCTGTTGAGCTGAAGGAGCTCCTTATACATTTTGAATATTAACTCCTTATCAGGTCTGTGGTTTGCAAATAATTTCTCCCATTCTGTAGGTTGCTTACACTCTGTTCCCTCTCCACTATGTTAAATATTTCCTTTGCTGTACAGAAGCTTTTAGATTTCAGTCCCACTTACTCATTTTTTCTTCAGTTGCTTGTGTTTTTGGTGTCATATGCATGAAATCATTGTCAAGACCAATGTCATCAAGTTTTCACTTATGTTTTCCCTAAGAGTTTTATAGTTTCAGTCTTACATTTTAGTGTTTAATCCATTTTGAGTTTATTTTTGTGTATGGTGGAAAGTAAGAGTATAATTTCATTATTTTGCAAGTTGATATCCAGTTTTCCCACCATCATTTGTTGAAAAGACTACCTTGTCCCCATTCTGTATTTTTGGCACCCTTGTCAAAGATCAGTTGACTATATATACATGGGGGAGGGGTTATTTCTGGGCTTTCTATCCTTTTCTATTGGTCTATATGTCTATCTTTATGTCAATACCACATTTTTAAATTGCCATAGACTTGTAAGACATTGAAATCAGGAAGTGTATTACCTCTAGCTTTGCTTTTCTTTTGCAACATTTGAAGTCGTTTTTGGTTCAATATGAATTTTAGGATATTCTTTCCTGTTTTTGCAAAAATACCGTTGTGATTTTGATAGGCATTACATTGACTCTAAGTTATTTTGGGTAGTATGTACATTTTAACAATATTAATTCTTCCATTCAATGAATACAGGATATCTTTCCATTTGTATGTGTCTTCACTGACTTCATTCATTAGTGATGTAGATGTCAGTATACAAGTCTTTCACATACTCCATTCTTTTTGATGCTATCATAGATGGGATTGTTTCTTTAATTTCCTTTTCTGATGCTCACTTTGTCTGCACATATACTAAAATTGGAACAATACAGAGAGGATTAGTATGACCCCTGAGCAAGGATGACATGTAAATTCATGAAGCATTCCATATTTTTTTGCAGTGACATGGATGAACCTAGAGATTGTCATACTGAGTGAAGTAAGTCAGACAGAGAAGAACAAATGTCATGTGATATCACTTATATGTGGAATCTAAAAAAAATGGTACAAATGAACTTATTTATAAAACAGAAATAGAGTTACAGATGTAGAAAACAATCTTATGGTTATTGGGGGGAGAGGGGAAGAAGGAATAAATTGGGAGATTGGAATTGACATATACACACTACTACATATAAAATAGATAGCTAATGAGTACCTACTGTATAGCACAGGGAACTTTACTCAATATGCTGTAATGACCTATATAGGAAAAGAATCTAAAAAAGAGTGGATATATGTATATGTATAACTGATTCACTTTGCTGTACAGCAAAAAGCAACAAAAAATGTAAATCAACTCTACTCCAATATTTTTTTTAATTTCTTTTTCTGATAGTTCATTTTTAATGTACAGAACTGCAACTGTTTTTTGAATGTTAATTTTGTATCCTGTGACTTTACAGAACTCAGTTATTAGTTTTAACAGATTTTTTGTGCAGTCTTTAAAGTTTTCTACACATAAGATCCTATCATCTGCAAACAGAGATAATTCTACTTCTCACTTTCTGATTTGGATGTCTTTTATTTCTTTCCTTGGCTAATTTCTCTGGCTAGGACCATGATTAGTTTTTAGAATCTAACCCTCATTTACAAAGTCAATTCTGCAGATCAAAGTTGTTACTGTGGAGGTCTTTCTGAGAATGTACATTAACTAAACAAATAGTTAATCAATTACAAAGATATTAAATTTGTTTAGTAACATGCATAGTTGTGAATGAGTGTCGATAGGAAAAACGAGTTCATAAATGTAAGTGGTGAAAATACCAGCTATACCAACATAGAGGTACTGTGTTGAAAGTATGATGTGTTTCAAAGTGATTATAAGACTTTCAAACTAATTTCATATAGACATAATTTTTTAAATTTTATGTTGTCTAATGCATAAAACCATTACTAATATTTTACATTTTATAAACTTTGATTCCATATAAGCTTGAGAATTTGTCTTATTTTAATTAAAAATTTTTCTACTTCTGGAAAATTGGGGCTGATATTGCTTCCCACTCCTTTCTACTCTAATATTAGACTCATAATTATATACATGGTTATGCTTCTGGCCATGGTTCTTAAATTCAAAGTATCATCTGGAAACCAATGTCTTAGTTTTTACTTATTACACTGAGGAAACTTGGGAAAGTCTTAGGGGGAAGTCCTAAAATTCTGCAAACCCCTGTCTCAAATCTATCTTAATGAATATTGCCAAATACTGGGTTGGTCTGTTAGACTCAGTTACTACAGTTGTCCCTTGGTATCCATGAGGGATTGCTTCTAGAACCCCCCACAGATACCAAAATCTGAGGATGCTCAAGTCCCTTATATAAAATGACATACAATTTGCGTATAACCTACATATATCCTTCTATATGCTTTGAATTATCTCTAGATTATTTATAGTACCTAAAACAACGTAAATGCCATGTAACTGGTAAATACAATGTAAATAATTGTCAGCATGCAGCAAATTCAAGTTTTGCTTTCAGGAACTTTCTGGAACTTCTTTTTGGTGAATATTTTTCATCTGTGACTGATTATATCTGTGGGTTAGGAACTCACAGATATGTAAGAGCAACTGCTTTCTTTTCTGGACACTTCCCATAGTTCACATTGGAAATGTCAGATATTAATTTATCTGAAAATAACAGGTATTAACTTTCCTAGCTTTCTTTACAGCTAAAGATGTCCATGTGACACAGTTCTGGAAAGTGGAATCCAAGGAGAAATCTATTGGAGGATTTCTAGAAAATTTTTTCCTCCCTGATGAAACAGGAGAGGAATGCAAGAAGAGCTCCTTTTCCAAATCTTATTTTTTCAACCTTTAGAGATGTTTATGTGAGATTGTGATAATTAGAGCTGTGACAGTCATCTTGTGGTGATCAAGTGACAAGACTGAAGAATGGAGGATGTAAAATAATGTAAAATGCCAAGAAAAGAAAACAAGGGAGGAACAAAAGAGGTGCAAAAACAGACAAAAAAATTAACAAAATGGAAATAGTAAGTCCTTATTTACCAATAATTATTTTAAATATAAATGGATTAAATTTCCCAATCAAATGACAGAGTGGCTAAATGGATTTAAAAAAAAACAAGATCTAACCAATATGTTATCTATCAGAGATACATTTTAGAGTTAAGGACACACAAGGCTGAAAGTAAATGAGTGGAAAAAGATGCTTTATGCCAACGGTAACACAAAGAAATTATAGATAGCTATACCTACATCAGATAAAATAGACTTTGAGTTAAAAACTGTCACAAGAGACAAAAAAAGTCATTACATAATGATAAAGGGTCACTTCATTAGGAAGACGTAACAATTATAAATATATATACACCCAGTATCAGAGTACTTAAATATATAAAGCAAATATTAAGAGATCTGAAGTGAGGAATAGACAGCAATACAATAATAGTAAGGGATTTCAATATCCCACTTGAAATAATGGATATTGTAATATCTCCTCTTTCATTTCTAATTATATTTATTTGAGTGTTTTCTCTTTTTTTCTTATTTCAGCTAAGGGTTTGTTGATTTTGTTTGTCTTTTCAAAAATTATCTTAGTTTTGTTAATATCTGATATTCAAAAAGGGTACTAAGAACACAAAATGGGGAACGAATAATCTCTTCAATAAATGGTGTTGGGAAAACTGGGTATTCACATGCAGAAGAATGAAATTGGACCCTTATTTCATACCATACACAAAAATCAACTCATAATTGATTAAAGACAAACATAAAACTTGAAACCATAGAACTACTAGAAAAGAACATGGGGAAAAATCTTGACATTAGCCTGAGCAATAATTTTTTTGGATATGACGTCAAAAGCACAGGAAAAAAAAGTAAAAATAGACATGTGAGATTACATCAAACTAAAAAGCTTTTGCACAGAAAAGGAAACAATGGAGTGAAAAGGCAACCTATGGAATGGGAGAAAATATTTGAAAGCTATATATATGATAAGGGGTTAATATCCAAAACATATAAGGAACTCCTTCAATTCAAAAGCAAAAAAAAAAAAAAAAATCCCAAATAACCCAATTTTTAAAAAGAGCAATGGACTAGAATATCAACCAGTTTCTTCAGGAAGACATGCAAATGGCCAAGATGTATATAAAATGATGTTCAACATCACTAATCGTCAAAGAAATACAAATCAAAACCACAATATGATATCATCTTACACCTGTTAGAAATGTCATTATCAAAAGATGAAAGATTAACAAGCATTGGTGAGAATGTGGGAGAAAGGGAATCTTTATACACTATTGGTGGGAAATGGAAATTGGTTCAGCCATTATGGAAAACAATATGGGGTTCCTCAAAAAATTAAAAATAGGATTGCATATGATCCAGAAATCCCATTTCTGGGTATATAGCCAAAGGAATGGAAATTAGAATCACCTGATACAAGAGATATCTGCCCTACATGTTTACTGCAACATTATTCGCAATAGCCAAGATATGGAGACAAACTAAATGTTGACCAATGGATGAATGGATAAAGAATGTGTGTGTGTGTGTGTGTGTGTGTGTGTGTGTGTGTGTGTATACATATATAAATTATTAAGCCTAAAAGGGAGGAAATCATGTCAATTGTCCCAACAAGAATAGAGCTAGAAGACATTATGCTAAGTGAACTAGCAAGCCACAGAAAGAAATATACTGCATGATGCCACTTATACATGGAATCTATAGTCAAATAAAACAGTCAAACTCATAAAATCAGAGGGTAGAATAGTGGTTTCCAGGGTCTTGGGGGGAAAGGGAAGTGGGGTAATGTTGGTCAAAGATTACAAATTTTCAGTTATGCAAGGTGATTAAGTTCTGGAGGTCTAATGTACAGTATGGTGACAATAGTTAACACTACTGTATTGTATACTTGAAATTTGGTAAGAGGGTAGATTTAAGTTTTCTCATCAGGAAAAGGTAACTATGTGATGTGATGGATAAGTTAATAAATTTCATTGTGGTAACAACATATATGTATATAAAAACATCAATTGTACACCTTAATTATATACATTTTAATCTGTCATTTGTACCACTATAAAGTTGAAGAAAATTTTTGAAGATTGAATTCATACTATTTTTTTGATCTCAACAGAATGAAAGTAGAAATCAGTAACATAAGGAAAATGGGAAAATTCACAGATATGTGGAAATTAAACAACACACTCAAAGAACGAATAAATTAAGAAATCACATTGTGGTAAAAAATGTACTTGATATGATCTTAAATATGTTAAGGCTTGTTTTGTGGCCTACCATGTGATCTCTACGGGAGAATGTTATAAATGTGCTTTAGAATAATGTGTATTCTTCTGCTTTTGGGTGGAAAGTTCTGTAAATGTCTGTTAGGTTCATTTGGTCTATAGGATTCAAGTTCACTGATTCCTTACTGATCTTCTGTCTGAATAATTTATCTATTATTGAAAGTGGGGTATTGAAATCTCTTTCTGTCTTTAGATATATCAATATTTGCTTTATATTATTAAGTCTTCTGATGTTGAGTGTGTATATTTATAAATGTTATATCTCCCTCTTGAATTTACTCCTTTGGTATTATGTAATGACCTTCTTTGTGTCTTATGACACTTTTAGACTTAAAGTTTATTTTATCTATTATTAGTATAGTTACTCCTCCTTCCTTTGTGTTACTATTTGCATGAAATACTTGTTTCCATCTATTCATTTTCAGCTTATGTGTGTCTTTAAATGTAAGATGAGTCTCTTGTAGACAAATATGGTTGGATCCTGTGTATTTTTTTTTTTTTAAATCCATTTGGGTACTCTGTGCTTTTTGATTGGTGAGTTTAATCAGTTTACATTTAAAGTAATTATGAATAGGTAAGAACTTACTATCACATTTTGTTAATGTTTTCTGTCATTTTT